AGACTTTGAAGATTGACATCTCAAAGTATAGGGGGGTCGAAGAAGACTCCCTCTTGAGATGGTTCGTCGAATTGGATGACGCCATAAGGGCGCGTCGCATCGACGACGGGGATATGCAAGTTGCATTTGCCCAGTCAAATCTGGCAGGACGTGCCAAGACTTGGGCACTGGGGCTCAAGTTGCACGACCCATATGCGTTTGGGTCGTTGGAAGTCTTCAAGTCGCGGCTCAGACAAACGTTTGAACCGCCTAGAGCTGAGTTCAGGGCTCGAACCGAACTCTTGAAGCTCAAGCAGGGTAAGCGTGATGTGCACGCTTACGCTCAACATATACGACATCTCACGAGTTGTATAAGTTCCAATCCGGTGGATGAACACACGTTGGTTTCGGTGTTCATGCAGGGTCTTGCGGATGGTCCCGTCAAGACTCACCTGTTCCGGCTTGAACTAGATTCACTAGAACAAGCCATTTCCATTGCGGAGCAGGAAGACTTCAGTCTGAGACAGGATCGCGCCAGCTCGACATCATATCGTCAACCGAGACGATATGACAACGGAGGTCCAGAGCCGATGAACTCTGTTATGTAGAGAGCGAGGAGGCTCGCTCTACAGACTTCAAGAAGTTGCAGAAATGCAACAGATGTCAAAAGACAGGACACTACGCTTACGAGTGTAGTTCCCCTCGTCCAGTGTCTCGCAACACTGGGTGTAATGACCGTCCACCCATGAGAAAGGGGCAGGGACGAGGGTCCGCAGTTGGTGCAAAGACGCAACAACGGGATGGACCGTCAAGAACGGACAGGATCAGTAGGTGCGGAGCACCCTACTGATCCAGCAACGTCAAGAGAATTTGTAGGCCTCTTGATGAAGGTTGCTCCCAACACACAAACGTTGTGCGTTGCTGCTCTAGGTAATGAGGTCTCACTCATTACCTTGAAACTCGAAGTGACGAATAAGTTGTCCCTTCGAGCTCTAGTCGATTGTGGGGCGTCCAACAATTTTTTGCAACGCCAATCGCTAGAAGATGGTCACGTTAAATTCAGTGAATGTGACACACCTCCTACGAGGATGACGGTACGTCTTGCGACAGGCGCATCCGTAACCGTCATGAAGCGTATAGTGAAGATCCACTATACGCTAGAAGATACCCAATATGATGATGACTTTTCCTTTTGGATTTGGATGACACATTTGATGTCATCCTTGGAATACCGTGGCTCAGAAGGTACGAACCACGAGTAAACTGGCAACATCGGACAGTAACGATGCCTGCCGCTTGTTCATCAGATGGCCATCTGACGAACGTTTTGGAGCGTCCACAAGCGTGTGGATGTACTACGAGTGAGTGCGATGGCCTCACTTGTGGTACGGTCGTTAGTACGACTGCACAAAACCTTAGTGTACCAAACGGTTACACTTCGGAGCAAAGTTCCGGCGGCTGTGAGGAAACACAGGCTGCGCCGAAGGTCCACCACTCGAATAAGTCGGGTGGACTGGGACAAAGATGTATCCCTAGAGGGGAACATCTAGAAGAGAAACAATCGATCGCTCAGGTTAAGCGAAACGATAATCCTAGATCGACTGGAGAGTCTTTCGTAGAGGATCTCGCTGTGGTAGCGCAACCCCAGCTAGAGGAAGTTAAGGGAATAAGTCCCAATATTACAAATACGGCGGAAATAAGTTCCCCGAAACCCGCGGGAATAAGTCCCCGGGAAGACGAAGGAATAAGTCCTTCGAAGCCTGAGGGAATAAGTCCCCAGGAAATGACAGAGACATTGAATGTCATAGTCAATAACGGATCATGTGTAGGCGCTTATACACTTGATCTGATTGCGCCTCCGAAGTTAACTTCGGAGATCACTCAGTTGCCAACGCTCGAACATAAAAGGTTCTCGCGTGATCTGCGTAGTGGCAAAGTCAAGCAGATCTGCATACTCGTCGCTGACGACGAGTATGTAACCGACATAAGGTCAGCAACAGTGTTTACTGAGAACGAGAGAGTTCTCAGTAGTTCATCTATGGACGAGAGTGTCCTAGATGAAAAGACACGAATTGAGCGATATGAGTCCCAATCATGGGAATCGCTCAAGGAAAATCCTCTCTATGAAGATTTGGTTGAATTCAAGGATGTATTCCCTGAAACTGTTCCGTGCGAATTACCGAAGGATAAAGGTATTCGACACGAAGTCGAGCTTAAACCAGGCTCGAAGTACTGTGTCATGAAGCAGTGGCCACTGCCTCGTGAACAAGTACTTGCGATCGACAAGTTCTTTGCCGATCGTTTAGCAGCGGGCCATGTGAGGGAATCAACTTCCCCACATAGCTCTCCGACCTTCTGTGTGCGAAAAGCAACAGGAGGGTGGCGGATAGTGCACGCGTTTAACAAATTGAACGCTGCAACGGTACCGGCTCAGACGCCGATACCGAGGAAGGACGTAATCATTGATGGTATGTCAAAGAGTACCATCTTTTCGTCCATGGATTTGATGGATGGCTTCTATCAAATCCTTATGCGGGAACGGGATATACCCTATACCGCAGTTAGCACGCCTAGCGGCATGCTCTGGGAATGGCTAGTAATGCCACAAGGGCTCAGTAATGCCCCTGCCACGTTCAACAGATGTGTATAACATCTGTTGAGACCAGTACGAGAATCTGCGCCGAGCTATTTCGATGACGTATTCATCCATAGTCGGGCTATGGATGGAAAGTCGGACGTTGAGGTTCACAGATACCACGTCCGACAGGTTCTTACAATCATGCGAAAGCATCAATTGTAGGCAAATCTCAAGAAGTGTATATTTGCAGCAAGCGGAATACCACTTCTTGGGTGCATCGTTGGTAAGAACGGTGTACGTCCTGATCCCGAAAAGATCAAGGCGATCACCGACTGGCCTGTGCCGGTTGATGTCATAGGTCTTCGAAAATTCCTTGGGCTAGCGGCGTATTTGCATAAGTATTCTCGCAATTACGCCGAGATGACTGTACACCTCTCTCGTTTGTTGAAAAAAAACGAGAGGTGGTTATGGAACGCTGAATGTCAGCGCTCCTTTGATGGTATCAAGCAGAGCTTGATACTATCCCCAGTCCTAGCAATTGCCGATCAGGACAGTCTATTTCATGTGGTCTGTGATGCCAGCGATTTCGCAATCGGATGTGCTTTTATGCAGTACGATCTTGAAGGCGTTGAACGCGTCGTCTGCTATCAGTCGCGTCAGCTGCAACCAGCTGAGCGGAACTATCCAGTGCATGAAAAGGAACTCCTTGCCATGAAGTGTGCACTCGCGAAGTTCAGAGTCTATCTATTAGGAGATAGACCCTTCATTGTTTACACTGACCATGCGTCATTACGCACGGCAGTGAACAGCCCGCACCTTTCACAACGAATGGCGCGGTGGTTGTCATTCTTTGCAGAATACAACTTTACGGTAGATTACAAACCAGGGCAACTTAATGTCGTCGCTGATGCACTCTCACGTCGGCCCGACGTTGAACCAGTCGTGAAACCCAACAGTGAGACAGCTACTGTTGCGGTTATGACGTCCTCAATACCATCTTCAACGTTGTATGATGATGTGAGGCGGGCATACGCCCAAGATGGTGAGATTGTGAAGTTATTGACACATCTCTCACAACCATCTCGAGAATCGTTGAAACGATTATCGTGTGCGTATCAATCTGCATCAGATCGATACACTACTCGTAACGGTTTACTGTATTATACAGCCGTTTCTGGTGACACACCACGTGTTGTCATTCCAGATGATACTGATCTGCGTTTGCGGATCATGTTCGAGTATCACGATGATCCTATAGGAGGACATCGTGGCCGGGAGAAAACAGATCTCACGGTGAATCGAGACTTTTACTGGCCCCGCCAGTATCAGTTTGTGCGAAAGTATGTTCGCGCATGCGAAGTCTGTCAACTAGTGAAGTCAAGTCCTTCAATGCGTGCACCTTTACAGCATCTAACAGTTCCTGCAGAGTACTGGTAATCCATCTCAATGGATTTCGTCTTCGGGTTACCCAAAGACGCACGCGGGAATACGGGTATTCTCGTATTTGTTGACAGATTCAGCAAAATGGTACACCTTGTGGCTGTACCAGAGACAATCACGGCAAGTGGCTATGCTTGTGTCTTTATTGACACCATCTTCCGACTTCATGGGTTGCCCCGTGAACTCGTATCAGACAGAGATCCACGCTTCACAGCTGATTTCTGGCGCTCCGTGTTTAAATCAATCGGAACGCGCTTGAAGATGTCGACATCTGATCATCCAGAGTAAGATGGTCAGACGGAACGAGCCAATCGTGTCCTTGAAGAGATACTTCGAGGATACGTACACTCCTTTAAGAGTTGGAGTGAGTTCTTGCCAATGGTAGAGTTTTCCATTAACAACTCGGTGCATGCGTCAACGACACATACACCGTTTTACGTGAATGACTTGCGCCATCCGCGTGTACCCACCTCACTCGAGTGTAACTCTGGTTTAAGGGGGGGAGACTCGCGCGAGCAAAAACCGATTTGGTTCACGCTCATCACGCTCTGACGAAGAGGTCATTGCGTTTGATGCCGATATCGACAACATCGATATCGAAGATGATGATGCCAGTGAGAGCGAGGAAGCTCTCACTGAAGAAAAGATTGATGTCGCTGCAGTGTACTCACAGCACACTGAAGCTAACGAGTCATCAGATGATTTCATACTGGCTCGTGAAACGATAGTCCGTTTTGTGCAAGACTCCATCGCCGAAGCGGTGGATAAGCAAAAGCAAAACGCTGACAAGAATGGAAGGGCAAACACTCTTTTATTTATAAAAGTGACTTAGTCCTACTGTCTACGGTTAATCTACCAAAGCATGTAGTGACTAACTTGGGTAGCAGTAAGCTACTACCCAAGTACATTGGCCCATTTCGTGTATTGCATCGCCTAGGCAACGCATACACGATCGAACTGCCACGTAAGATACGAACGCATCCCACGTTTTACGTTGGTCGGCTTAAGCCGTACCATCAGTACGCTTCTTCTTCCGATGAAGAACGCCCTCGCGTTCAAGCATCTCACAGAGAGCCCTGTGCTCCCGATGGTGGATATCGACAAGGGTCTGAAGAGTAGTTATCTCGGCCCGAGACCGGTCAATATCCACACGAGCTACCCTTAGCTCGTCACGAAGAGATGTCAGAGATCTCTCGTTCTCAAGCTGAGCAAGGGCAAACTCAGCCCGATGCTTCAAGACAGTGTCCGTCAGTTGGAGACGCCTGTCCCGCTCATGTTCGAGGTCGCGGCGCAACGCAAGAGTTACGCGGTCAAAGAGGCTCTCGGGGACACACGCTCCCCCACGATAGTTTGAAGAGCGTTTTCCCTACTCCTCCACCTCCATTGGAGGACTCTCGCGGTGGTCAGCGCTATCTGATTGAGCGGCTGTGAACCACCGCGATGTGAACGGACGTCGGACGAGTTAACTCGTCCGATGGCGCGGTTATCCCCCGTCCTGGGATACTTAAGAGCCCCGCTCCCAACTGAAGATTGACGTACTGGGTCTGGTTGAGTAGTATGACGCGGCACATCCTGTGCCGCAGAAGGACCGCCGGGGAAAGTCTTTCCGGCACGGTCGTAAAGAAATTTCAGGTTGTCAATCCCTTCGTACATCTCACTAGAGATACGTACGCGCCACCACGGGCTGGTAAGGAGGTAAGCCTCCTTAGGTGCTCGTGCAGAGTTGTTCACACAACATGGGCACGAGGCTCCCCAAGAGAGGCAGGGTAATCCTTTCTCCCTTGACAGACGATGCAGCTTGTAGCGTGCACCTGTCGGGGTTCGCTTTTCAAACTTATCACGACCTTTGATAAGTTTGGCGTTCCAAACGTCACGACCTACATCCTCAAGGTTATGGATGTAGGCGTTCCACGCTTGAAGCAGTGAGGGACCATCACGTTTGTGATTCCCACTGTACCATCGATGCTTAAAGAAAGCATCGATGAAGAATTCACGCTCAGTGTGAAATTCTTTCGCACTGGGGTCAAGGTGATGGATCCTTGATGAATCGAATAATCGTGTTCGATAGCGATCACTTGTCGTCGCCGACAAGCGATCCATGAATGACTTTGGAGGCATCCATGCCTTCTTCACGGGAGCGAGACGCAACACGTTGCGGTCCCGCTCTTCCTGCGACGTGCCGACCGAAGTACTGGTACCTCGCTGCGAAGTGGTGTCCATAGGAGAACCGATACCAATGTGAGCGCCCGAGTCTTGCGATCTCGAGCGCCTTCGCTTCGGCGATGGTTCATCTGATTCGTCAGATGAACCAAAGACGCTACGACGCGTATTGCCACGCTTGGAAGGCGGCTTGGTTTCAACCGCCTTCGATACAGATCCGTCTTCCGTATGAGGAGAGTACGAGACACCGAGCTCATACTCTGTGAAGACATGAGTGTCTTCATAACGAGCGTCTGCATCACCAGGTGACACAGACTGAGACGCTTTAGCAACCGATGACACATCGGTTGCAGCGGTTTCTGCTTCGGCGTCTGCACGTCTCCGTGCAGACGCGCTCTCAGCGATTTGTTCACGCACTGCATGGGCTCGTTAACCATGCGATTAAACTGGTGGACTGTGGACTCGGACCAACAAGTGCAAACCCCGTCCCAAATGATTTGGGACGAGTATCCATTTAGTCAATTAGTCACTAAAGTGACTGATGGTTAAGGGGGGGTTGTAACGGGGTGAACCGTTACATAACAATTTATAAGAAATTGTTAATAGAATGTAACTATAAGAGTTATATTCTCAGAATATTGTCATAAGGACAAATATTCTGCAGCACTTACGAGTAGTTCCTAATTGGTTGATATAGGCCATTATATCAACTAACGAAGACGCGCCACGACAGACGCACGCAATGAGTGGTGAGCAGATAGTTGATATTCACATTTGTATATTTAGACATAGTTAGATGAAGATAAATGGTGATTTATTGCAGACATTAACTATGCTAAATACAGTTCTACTTTTTACTTTAACCAAGTACTCGCTTCTCCTTACCGTCTTCTTCTGCACGTACCAGTGTACGTGAAGTTCCGAGGCACCGCCTTGTTCTGTCGTCAGAATAAGTAGCTTGTACTGTCATCAGTACAAGCTTGAGGGTGCCCCGTTACACCCCTCTTAGTTGCGACCTTCTCTTGCAATCGCACGCGATCGCTCCTGCATGGAAATTACAGTTTCTCAGCAACCGCTACATCTATAACGTCACTGTCGGGCAGTAGATCGACAACTGGTCGCCCGATTTGTGATGGTGCAGCAGGCCAGTCACGAGTCAAGAGAATGACCAGGTTGTGCTCATTATTATCCAGCTTGCGATTGCGTCGGGTTAAGCACGAGTAACCAGCGTGTCCACATTCGACTGGTCTAGTCCAATACTACTGGCTTCATCATCAACTCCTTCGACTTACATGCACACACAGAACTACACCAAGCTTTTTCTGTAGCCAAAGCAACAAGATCAATGCCGACACTCTGCGAGTGATAGAGCAACAACCATCTATGCCACGCCGATCCATCAGAAGTTCTATCTCTCAACAACTCAACGAAAGTGCACAGTGTTTCGCACTTTTTTCAGCGGCAAGTCTCCGCCGACTGCACGTTCCATGGTCGCAGATAAAGCTTCGGTCGTGTACTCGGCATCCAAAGGGTGCATCCCAACACGTGTTTTCCCTTGCTTCGTTCGAAGGACAAGAAGCCGGGGTTGGTGCTCTGTGTCACTGCGACCAGCAGCTGTCTGTACGAGCTTCTGCACCGCTTCCTGCTGGATTTTCCAATCGACGTAGGCAATGTGCAGACCCTTCGAGTGCCGAAACTTGGCTGCCACTTCTTTCGCCACCTTCATTTCCTTCTCGCGCTGCTCTTTCTCGTCACTAGACAGCACAAATACAACGCACTGCGACGTGGTCTTGGACTTGGCCCGCTTGCCTAAATTGCACAGCGAGCCTTCGTTCCCAGCATGCAACTTTTCAATCTCACCAGATTCGCGCATCCGACGCAAGCGCTCCAGATGCTTGTCCATCGCAAAGTTGTACACGAGGTACTCGTCCATCTCGCCTTCATACTTGCTAAGCTGCCCTTCCCAGATGTAGAAAAAACCCGGAGGGTTCTTCACACCATTCGCCCGACAAAACGATGCGTGCTTCCTGCAATTCACTGCACCGACACGCACTTTGCCTCTCAAATCACGTGCGATTTTCTCGTATTTGAAACGGAACTCAGCACACGGCGGGTCCATGGCGTAAAACTGCACGAGCCACTCGTAGTTAGACTCTTTACCCGGGAACTTGGTTTTCGACAGCGACTTGACCGGCGATTCCGAGCCATACAACGTCGTTGGCTGTTTCAACCGCGGGTCCACGTAATACCCTCCATTCCCCGACGGCGACGGCCCCGCTTGACCAAAGCCGTCCATGCCACTAAAGCGGAACTCCTTGTTCGGTGGCTTCTGTCCACCAGCGCCTCCGGCCCGTTTAAAAGGTGCACCAAAGGCCTCATCGTTGAACCCGTGACCAAAAATGCCCTCGAACATCTTGGTGAACGACGCCATGGCCTCTTCAGTCGACGGTTCGCTCCCGCCACTTCGAGTCTGACTCGAACCTTGAGTGAACCCGGCAGCAGCTTCAGCTGTTCCACTGGCGAACCGCTCAAACAGTCGCGCATCGTCGTATTCCTTGCGCTTCTCCGGGTCCGACAGCACTTCATAGGCCTCCGACACTTGTACGAACATCTCCTTGGCAGCCTCCGCCTCTGCAGCATTCTCGGCCTTGTCCGGATGGTACTTGAGCGCCAGTTGATGATACGATTTCTTGAGCTCGCGGTCGGACACGTCCTCGGGGACCTCCAGGAGCTTGTAGTAATCTTTGCTCGTGTCCATGGCCTTGATGATGGACGTGGAGAAGCTGAGCACAGCAAGCACGAGGGCGAGCAGCGCGAAAGGATGGCGGCGGTGCCACGCTTGACAAGTCATTCAGGACTGATGGAAGGATGGGTACAAACAAATGACTGGAATGGAGAGAGCAACTCGACGAATGAAAAACGATTCCTGCGACGTGTGGGACGCGACTGTGACGCGCGGCGACGATCGATGACGGATTGTTCGAGAATGACGTGGACGCGTCGACGACAACGACGAGACGATGCGTATTTGTTTCCACGGGGTCACGTGTGACGCCACACGGGGTCGGTGATAGAACGGTTGTGGGTAACAGGAATTCAAAATACCGGTATGTGTCAGTGTATACAGCTGCCGTATACACGAGCCGGCACCCAGCTTTGTCGTGGCAACTTGAATAAAATGGCAAAAGAATTTATTGTCGCCTTATAAACGGGCTGGGAAAAGTAAAGAAAAAAGGAAATTTAACCAAACCGAGCTACCTTGGTGTGTCCACACCATCTGAAGTCGCCGCCCATTCGCTGAAACACTTCAACGCGAATAGCTCCATTCGGATCGTCCATGCAGAGTCAGCCTACTCGTTCAAGATCCATGAGCTACTTGGCCAGGCCCTTGATCTTGTCAGCCCACGAGTCCGCCGTCTCTTGCACCTTGTGCGCCACATCCGACGCCGTCCCCTTGACCTTGCTCGTCGCGTCCGACGCCGTCTCTTGCACCTTGCCCTTCATATTCTCCTTCTCATCGTAGGCACGGTCCCGCGCCTGACGCGCTCGGGCCTTGGCATCCGAGGCCGTGTCCTGCATCTTGTCCTTCATGCTCTCCTTCTCGTCATAAGCCCGGTCCCGTGCTTGACGCGCCTTCGACTTGGCGTCCGATGCCGTCTCCTCCATCTTGTGCTTGGCGTTCTCCTTCTCGTCATAGGCCCGGTCACGTGCTTGACGCGCCTTCGACTGGGCACTCGACGCCATGTCGTCCGCCTCGTCTCGCGCCCGCTCCATCCAGCTGTAGTCGTCGTCGCTCAGCTTGTGCTTGGCCTCATCCTTGCGGCGCTGCATGGCGTCGTGCACACACTGCCGAAAGTCCTGCGTCTCTCGCTCGCAGTCGGCCTGGTCAAAGGCGCCGCCCCAGAGGCGTTGGAACCAGCCGCCGTAGCACGCTTTGACGCGCTCCTTTTGCTCCTCACACTCGGCAAATACTTGCGTCTTCATAGTTTAGTGAAGTAGTAGTAGTGGTGGCGATGTACGAAGGACAGAGGACAATGGAGAATGACTGACTGACTAACTGACTGACTGATTGAGAGAGAGAGAGAGAGAGAGAGGGCGAGAGGGAGAAAGATACACATCGATTGTTGGAAGGGACGCGGCGACGAGCGTGTCGCGGGCGTTGGGCACGTGCGGCAGCGGTCGAGGACCGCGGGTTTCAAAAACCTGTACGATTGCATACTGGCTGACTGTGAAGTATAGTCGAAAGTGACCTGTCAGATGGTATTTCCCCGTGAAAACCACGTTTCGGCCGTTAGCGACCTCTTCAGCACAATGGCTGCTTCATCACTGTCGCAAACACGAGTGAAAGAAGCAGTCGTAGCAAGTTCAACAGGGTCCACAAACCCATCAGCACAAAGCACCCACCCATCCACTTTCACCCATCCACTTTCATCCATCCACCCACGTTTCCAAATCTCTTCGTCGTGGGTCCGCTAGGGGTCGGGCTATCACATCCCTCACCCCTCCCCCTCCTCCTCTCACTCCACCCACCCTCTCGTTCTCGTTAGTGTCCAGAACAAAAGAAAAGAACAGACAGTCGCGTCCCGACACCTACCTGCCTTTTCTTCCTCGCATCCCTCAAAAAAGCACATTCTATATAAATAACAACCACTCCAAAACAACAACAACAACTACAAAAGAACTCATCGAGTCCTTTTTTACCAACCGCCTTCCGCCTGTCAAGCCAGCACCTACCTATTCAGCCAGCCAGCACGCAACCAAAACGAACAGACCCAAGCCACCTCCTCCTCCTCTTCCACCACCTCTTCCTCCTCCTCCTCCTCTCGTCCATGCCGCCCATCGGCAGCAGTTTCCGCAGCATCATGCGTGGCAACTCGTCGTCCGAGGGCTCATCGTCGTCCATGTCCGACGAGACGGACGTCCAGATGCAAGGCTGGATGCGCAAACAGAAGGAGACGCTGCGGTCCTGGGCACGGCGCTACTTCACGCTCACTGGCAAGACGCTCACGTACTACGACAGCGAAGACACGAGTCGCGGCGCCCGCGGCGTGCTCGAGTTTGTCGACGTGACGCCGCTCACGACCGAGCACAATGGCCTGGCGCTGCACCTCGTGAACGGCAAAGAAGTGCGGCTATTGGCGGATACGCACGTGGCGTACGCGGCCTGGATGGCGGTGATGTCAGCTGCGGTCAAGCGGCCACGGTCGAGCAAGACACGGACGAGCAAGGAAGGCTGGGCCCATTGCCTCACGGACGACGAGGTCTGGACGCGCTTCTTTGTCGTGATCAAGCACGACAGTTTCAGCTGTTACGAGTCGGAAGACGACGATGCCGAGCTGGCGCTCTCGGGCTTGATCCGAGCGGTTAATGAGTGGGACGGCAAGCGCTTTGGCATTGTGTGCTCGCTCAATCGCGGCCGGACAATCAAGCTCTGCTTTGATTCGGCGGAAGAGCGTATGTCGTGGTTCCTCACGCTCGAGTTTTCCGTCTCGTATGGGGCAGCACGGATGAAGAAGGAAGCAGCGAGCAAGGGGAAAAGTAGCAGCGATTTGAATCCAGTGGTCGTGCGGGCGGAGTCCGGCAAGGCGGACGCAGCGGCGGAGGTACAAGAGGACGATGGGGTATGGATTTAAGCTTGAGGGGTGGTATGCTAGTTATGTGAAGCGTGAAGGAGGCTATATCGATGAGGTAGACGCCAGAGCTCTGTCTTGGATGCTCTGGTGACGGAATGTAATTGCGGAAGAAGAAGAAGAGAGAACGAGACGAGGCCCGACCTTCGGGGCATGCAGCGTGTGTGAAGGTGGAAAAGCGCTGAAGATACCGTGCAGATGGATTGTGCGCTGGTGGTCATGTCTCACTACACGGTAGTGCTACGCGTGCTGTAAAGGAAGAGAGACGATGTTCATTTCGATGTAATGGTCAACAAATGAAAGTATATTAAGCTAGTGACGTGTTGATGCGTGGCGTGTAAGACGGATGAATGGACGGAGGGACGTGCTTGTTTATTGCATGAAAGGACGGACGAAGAGGAGGAATTGATGGACGGAGATAGGTTGGTCCCAGCCGTGGATTACGGTCAATGACGAAGCGCCGTTGAACCTGATACAAAGCGTTTTGGGTGCAAAGCATTGCAGATGCAAGTATCCTTGCCAATGACCACGAGGGATTTGCCAAGCTTAGCAAGATGATGAGGATGAAATGAAGGAACACAACAAGCAGCTGGCGGGGACATCCAGGAAAATATCGACTAGCAGATTGCGATCAGGGTCGATGCCCCATTGAAACAGCGTTCCTGTCCGACATTCGCTGTTTCGTGCTTGTTGCGTTCTACTTGATGCTGCCCTTCTGAGTCAGCCGTATTTACAGCTTTGCCAGGGCAGCCTCAACGTCTGCGTCACTCGACACAACGAAGCTCTTGGTGTCGGCTTTCGCAAGTAGCGCCTGGAACTTCTCCGTGTCAACATCCGCGTCCACCTTCTTCAGCAACGCAGCAGCTTCTGCCGACGAAATCGACTTCACGCCCTTCCCAGCCTTGTCGACAAAGATGGCAGCCTTCGGATGATCCACCAGGTTGTTGCACGGCACATACACTGCTGCACCGCCCTTCACCGCCACAACGTGCTTCTTTGACACCGTGTGGGCATCCTCTACAATCGCACCCCCATACAGCGATGTCACACCCGCTGGGTTCCAAATGTTCAAGTGAGCACTGTATAGCTGACCGTTATTGATCGCCGTAGCTCGTCCAGCACTCGTAGCATTGAACACCAGTGCTGTCTTGTTGTCCTTGAGCAGCACATCAGCTGGAACCACAAGCGACTCGGACTCCGCCATCTCCAGCAACTTTTTCTTTGCCAATCCAATAGCGTCCTTAACAGTCGCGAGATCAGCTGCCCCCGTGACCACGACCTTGACAAACGTCATGCCATCGTCATTATTATCCACCAACAGCTGCGCCTGTGGCTCTTGGCCCTTGTACTCGCCGCCAGTAGCGACATAAACCACAATCGGACGGGCAGCATGCGGGTCCTTGATAGGCACCCGCACGAGCAAACTCTGAGCAAACAGCGCTACTAAAGGCGAGTCGGAGATCACACGCACACGCGTGCGGTCGTCCTTGAACGAGCCGGCAGCACCGTCTTGTGTGTACAAGTTCGGCTCGGTCGACAGATGCTCTGTCACTTGCTCGTACAGGTGCTCAAAGTCATTAAACACGAGGTTGACGTCCACCTCTTTGATGGTTACCTTCTTGTCACCTGCAGTAGCCAGACTTAATTAGAAACGTTTCTAACAAGATACCATGTTAACCGAATGTGGTCGAACGACCGCGACTTCGGCTATCTAACACCGGGACAGCTGTTTTTACGGTAGGTACCTGGTGTCTCCTGCTGTGCAAGGGCTTCGAGCTTAGGCCAGCTGAGGTTGCGGAAGGCATCGCCATGTGGCGTCACGTCATCATCGGCGAGCGACCAGTTAAACTCGATATTTAGCCCTTCGTGTTCTTCTGGGAACTCCTACTTATAGAGCATGAATTCGAAATGAGGACATTAGAAATTTAGAAAAAAGGAAAGCAAACACAGACTCAAATCCAGTCTAAATTTGATACCACCCAGAAAGAAACGCAATCACGACTGCACGCACCACGACAAACTTGTCGGCAGCGTGTGGTACTGCACTGAAACATCGAGCTACGACACGACGAGCTGCGGCCACTCGCAGCGCCTGGAAGCTCTGGCGGAGGGCGGCCATGGTCCAAGTATTCAGAGAGCTTCAGGATAGGAATCTGGACAGAAGTTCTAAATGGCCGGCAGTCCAAAGACTCGTACTTACTTGAATGAAACGATTTCAGCCAATCAGAAACCACGACAAGTCCTCATTGCAATACATGCAGCATGGCAACGATACCTCTTGCAGCGTGCGGACTCGCGCCGTCAATTCTCGGTACAATGAAGCAGTCAAGTGTCTATTGGGTCTTGTTAATAGTGCAATGAATACAGTGGATGATTACTGTGGTTTTGTTGTGGTGAATGAATGCGTAGCGGCGCTCCTCCGTGCAGGTTTTCGGTATCAGAACGATCTATTGGACGTCCAAGTGCGTGAATTAGCAAACGGTGGGCTTTATCTTGATTTTGTTCGTCTTGATTGTATCGAAGTGTGTAGTGTATTTATCTGACGGTGAGTACGCTGTGTTTGTGTGTGGGGTCGTGGTTTGCAGAGGCGCAGATCAGCGTTAGCGATGCCGTAAGGGTGTTGGAAATTGCTGGGAAGGAAGAGACTTCAGCAATTGTGGTGGGACAAACAGCGCTGGATCTGTTGCAGGTAATCATTGATGACAAGATCTTGGCATGCTGCTTGCTGGGTCGGTCGTTGTTATGGCGGCAATAGCTGATGTGGGGCTGGATGGAGGTAGGAGGTGACGAAGGCTAAACCTATTTCTACGAGGCTGCTGGGACTAGATGGACTTCTAGGTGGTGGCTTACAGCGGGGCGAAGTCACGGAGTTTTGTACGTTGACTGTTGTGATGTGTGCTACGATATCTTGCGTATAACAGTGAGCATCTGCGTTCTTGTATTTCTGCAAAACGAAAGGTGGTGGTCCTGGTACGGGAAAGACGCAACTAGGGTAGGCCATGTGATGCACTGAATCGCTCTCGCTTCGAGCCGTTGCAGCTTATGGCTGATCGTACTATCGTCGACAGAATCCACGCTTGCCTGGCCGCGCAGTGTGTAGCAAATGAACCTGGGAAAGCCACATCTGCTGTGTTTGTTGGTACGGAAACCCGGACCGAGTTGCGGTAGTTGTTGCTCGACCTGATGGTGTCATTTAGATAGCGAAGGAAGCTTTATAATTGAACGTGTGGCGTCGATGGCTGAGTGCTTCGTACAGGATTTTCGTCAGCTTGAAACGAAAAAGCGGGTACGCTGATTGATGGGATCATAGTTTCGACTACAATGTGACGACGTGATTGTTTTATTCAAATTGGCCGACGATGGTGCAGACACGGGACGAGTTGCTGCGAGGAATAACGTATTACCGCGTGCACGATTACTTGGAGCTCATTGAAGTTCTTCACTCCTTGTCAGCGTTTTTCCAAGTGACTGACGAGGTAAGGTGTTGACATGGATGCATTGTAGCGGCACTGTCTTACATCCGTACTCATAGTGCAAGCTGCTAGTGATCGATACTGTGGCTTTTCATTTCCGCCACGGCTTTGAAGACTTCACCCAAAGAGCACGGGCATTGGACGAACTTGCTACCTTTTTAAGTGGACTTGCAGCTGATTTCGATTTGGCGGTCGGTGTTCTCGTTTGGGCTCAGTGTGTGTGCCGGGTCACTAACGAATCTTGGCAGGTCGTGTTGATTAACCACATTACCACAAAATCGTCCAATAACGAGATCCATGGACCTCAAGTGCGACCAGCATTGGGTACGTCTTGTTTGCTTACAAGTTCGGTCGCCAAGATGGGGTATAACTTGCCATGCTATGTTCAAGGTGAAGGCTGGGTACACTCCGTCTCGAATCGGGTTGTTCTCGAGTGGGCGGTGCGTACTTGCCTAAAATGCGCTTGATTTGCCTGTGCGTGACTCTCATCTCGGTGCTTCAGGCAAATTGTCGTGTCGCTCGCCTCGTAAAGTCACCAGCACTGGCTCACGGTCCAGCCCTGTTTGAAAGTACGTTAAGGTATCAGTACTCGCCGCCAACAGCGCCTGATATGTAACGATGCTTTTTGTTTAGTTTCAGAGCGAGGAGTACGCGATGTGGTCGACGAAGAGTACTGAACATCTCCTGTGTAATTTCGGATGTCGAATGACTCACCAGCTTCCCTGATCACGAATGATTGTTCTGGACCTTCTTGGCCTCAATTCAGCTGACCTCTTCTTGCATGGGTCTTCAGGTGCGTGTCACAGTTTCCAACACATTTGTAGTGAGTGAATGTATCGATCATCGCTGTTTCTCCGTGAGTACTTGTGTATTCTCTGGACGCGCTAGGCCAAAATGTGTCCACAATGTGCTCACATGTTCGTTGTCACATTTGCAGGTGCCGCAGCCAGCGCATTCTACCATGTCGGTCAGCGCGTGACGAGTGATAGTGTTGTTGACATGCGATAGTTTTGTAGTGTCATACGTGCGCCAGCAGCACGTCAGATGAAGGCAACCCCACAAAGTTTAGGGAAATGAATGCATGTCATAACGTCGCTTTCATAAAGTAATAGTGTCGTGGTGCCTGCGTTTAGTATCTGTTTGAGCGGAAATGGTAGTTGACAGGTTGATTGCATGAATCACATGATGAACAGATTCCAGCTGTCACGTTCCGGTGTCAACAAGTACAGCTAGATTACGGCTCAACTGTTGACTTTGATTTTTGATTTACGACGGTACATTGTGTCGCTTGGCCTCTTTAGACCTTGATTACTGTGACGAAGTAACTCGACGACTTTTCGCTTATTGACTTCCCACGGCGTCCTAGTGTCCAGGCAGGTTGCAGTGATGGTTTTGTGAAGCTAATTTGCAGTTGCTCTATACACATATTGCGATTTGTTATATTTGCCTATGTGGCCTGATCGTCTCAAGTTTATGGCTGAAAACCGTGAGAGGTCTTCTTTGGATGCTTAAATTGGATTAGGCTTCACACATTAGCTACCTCATCGAGTAGAAAGCATAGCTTGATCACGTTACATGTAGAAAGTACCAGTCAGAATGTAGCACAGCTTACTACGAATGTTTCAGAAGCGATGCGGTTCAAAAAAGATAGAAAGGGGATCTACAGTAGCCACAACGTATAATGTGGATGCATTCATCTTTTACCTTCGCTACAGTCTCGAAAGAAAGTGTACACGTATGCACGTATTCTGAGAGATCCCAACAGCTAACGAGCTGATCTGCAAAAAGGAACTCGTGCAGGTAAGAACTAACATGATGTCAAACAGAACTCGATCGATTCGATTAGCTGTTGAGTGGTACAACTACTGACAAATGCACACGTTACACTCTCGGTCGATGGAGTGTCTTTCGTGGCAAATTGTGTGCGGTTCTTTTCAGAGTAGGCGAGCAGATCTTCAAAAATAAGCACATTTTCCATCCTCGTCAGCTTACAATGTATCAGCCTTATGCGGTATCAGTAAGAATACGAAGTATAGTGAACGTTGATGCGTCGACAGAGGCAACAAATACGACACGTGCTGGAACCGGAATGATTGCCATGATCGGTAGCGCAAATTATGCCAGAACAATACACGATAATGGTCGCCTAATGTGGTCTTGTGTTGACGCATTGGATCGTTACATCAGAGTCACGTCATCAAGTCGACTGGATGGATCGCATTAATGCGGATGCTTCAGGAAAGCCATTTAGATATCCTGAACGCGGGTGAGTTTGCAAAGACTAATCAGGAAGGCGCTAACTGGTTTGGGTGGAGGCGAGTTGGCTCTAGCCTATTGCAACGACTGTAAGGTGGCAAACAGCATGGCAATGGGCCCTAATGTCAGCATATCATTAGCTCTGATCACGTTGAAGAAACACAATGTCGAGGTTTGCATTTTGATCAAAATGAAGCGAAAACATGGCAGCAAGTGATGGAGGACGGAAGGCAGTTTCGATTCCATATTCCAGCAACTGTCACTACATTCTTGTTTCCAACGGCTGAACCCAAGTCGTCATGTATGCAGGAACCAAACGGGTGCAAAAGCGCCTGGTAAGTAAAATTGACATTATGTGACAAGTACGGGATCAGAATCTTAACGGCAAGTGTGTAAAAACCTCTTTACGTAATGTACGAGATCTTTTGACTGCTTAGCCAAGCATAAAACTCAATTATTCTTCGCATATGCCAGTTCCGTTAACGATGAAGACAGCTGTGATCTCGCCCGTTGGTTCGATCTGGTGGAAAGTCGGTGCCATGACAGGTGCTAGTGGCGTCATGCTCGGTACATTCGTGATTTAATCGATAGTGGCTTCTCTCCAGTCGTGTCTTGATTTGTTCCCGTATGCTGGCCAAGCTGACAATTTTGTCTGCGACATGTGCAAAACTGACAAACAGGTGCTTTCGGCGCTCATGCGCTGAAGAACCGCGTCAAGGACCCGGAATTGCTCAAAAGCTGGTCGACTGCTGCTTATTATCAGGTAGATACTGACAGAATGCAATCAGCTATGGTGCTATTATCTCCACTTGAAGTGATACTCACAATGCCGTTGTTACACTTGTTAGCTGATCCACTCGGTGGTGTTACTGGCTGCGCCAATGTGTCGACACCCGAAACTGGCGGGACGACTCATTTCAACGGGCACAATGCTGTTCTCAGGATCGATATATCTGATGGTACTCACGGGCGAGAAAAGACTTGGCATGATCACGGTAAGTGACGGTCACGGGGATCGCCGCTGCTGCGGATGTTGATAGACTGACCAATCGATGTATTGGTGCAGCCTGTAGGTGGCGTCGCGATGGTCGCTGGGTGGCTCGCCCTGATGTTGTAGGCGGTCAAGTTCGTCGGCATTAAGATGGTTGATGCGGTGATCAAATTTTAGTGTGAAAGGATCAATCAGTTCATTGGTGCGACTTTTTAATGCCAGATACTAAAAAGACAGCTGCATATTGTCTCACATGTGTGTGCTTGTCAACGGTTATCTTTCGTTCCTGGGACACGAGCTACGGTACCATTGCCTAAAACATCGCTAAAGACGCGGAACAATCCAACGAACCTCGGTCGGGAGTGCACTTGACAGCTGTACCTATACCAGCAACTATCAGTCACTACCCTTTCAGTAAAGAAGCGACTAATGGCTGCACATTATTCTATGGTATCGGCAGCGAGCGTCTTATTCCCAGCACTTTTCATACTGCGCGGTCGGACGAGAATCTGGGTTACTACAAGTATCAAAAGGTAGAATTGGCTTACACCATCGCATTCTGCGCTGGTGTAAAAGCGAGGATCGCCAAATCACTTTGCGTGCCTTCTATCGCGCCGCGCGATCGTCACCCTCTTTCTAAACACATGTAATGCAGGTCGCTTTTGTGATGGTCATAATTATTCCATGCACAGACATCTAAAAGCACGTATTTTGTCCGCGATGATCATGTTCCCCCAGTATTATGACACATGTCCGACGAAATGCTCGCACAAAATAGATGTGGTTGCTAAAATCCTTGTCGTACTAAAAATAACACACGTTCTAAGAAGTATCGATAACCGTAGCACCCTTCGTCAGCTCCGTCTCGCCGTCTCTTCCCTCCCCCCAAAAAAACACCCCCTCCTCTCTCCTTCCCCCGCTACTTGTTCAGTCGTACAGCTGTTTCCGTCCACCGCCATCTCCCCTCGTCTTTGTCAACTTACTCAAACCTCGTCTCTTCTCCACCCATCATCTGTTCACAACATTCCAATGGTCCACGCCGAGCGGCGGCGACCAGCGTCTCCTGCAGCCTCTTCGCCGCGCCCAACATCTAACCCCGCCCTCCCACCACCCGCATCTGCTCCCACGTCGTCTCCTGCATCCACCCATCCCTCTTTTGTCGCTAACCCGTCTCTAGACGCTCCGCAATCGCACGCGGACGACGTCCATCCCAGCTCCAGTCCCGGTGATCGCGACTCGATGGACTATAAGACCGTCACGTTCACTGTCCCGGCATTTGCCGCCCCTTTAACCCGTCGCATGTCGAGGGAGAGCAACTGTCCGCTGTTTTCCGAGCGCCAGCGCTTCACCCCGACCGCCGATAAGCTCGTGCTGGTTATGGTGGGTCTGCCCGCCCGTGGCAAGTCGTTTATCGCCAAGAAACTCTGGAAATTCTTCTGCTGGAAAGGCCTCAAGTGTCGGGTATTTAACGTCGGGCAGCTCCGACGAGCGACGAAGGCAGCAGGGGCCCGGCAGGACCATTCGTTCTTTGATATGACCAATGCAAGCGCAAGCCAAGAGCGCGAGCGATTGGCTAGAGAGGCGCTCGTGCAGGTGCAGCAGTGGCTAGCTGGAGAAGAAGAGGAAGGAGGAGGAGATGGAGATGGAGAAGGTGAAGGGGTACGGGGTGGTGATGTGGCTGTGTTTGACGCGACGAACACGACCAAAGCCAGGAGACACGTGCTGCGGGAAACGTTTCGAGCGTTTGCCGAGCGGCACGGCACGAGTGTTCACGTCGTGTTTGTCGAGAGCATTTGCACGAGTGAAGCTGTGATTCGTGCGAATATTAAGCAAAAGGTGACAAGTAGTCCCGACTACTGCTGTATGCCGGAAGACGAGGCCGTCGCGGATTTGAAACAGAGACTCAAGAACTATGAAGCAGCGTATGAAGCGCTGGAAGACGAGGAAGAGTGCAGTTATATCAAGCTGTTTGACATGCAGTCGAAAGTGCATGCGAAAGGCATTTATGGCCACGTGGCCAAGTCGATTTTGCCGTACATGATGAGTTTTCATCTCGAACATCGCCCGATATGGCTCGTGCGAGCTGGTCATTGCATTGAAGTGCGAAAAGACTTTCGAGCGATTATTAAGGACCCGTGCGTTGCGCCTCGGTCGGCGCATTTGAGTCCACTTGGGTTGGACTTTGCTTACCGACTTGGCGTGTTTGTCAAGCAGCGGACAGCAGTGTGGATTGAAAACGAAGACTTTACGCCAAAAGATGATCCGACCGAGTGTCTTGTCATGACATCGACGTTGCCACGTGCTGTGCAGACGGCCAGCTTTCTTCCCAGTGGCCAGCGAAGTACGTGGGATTCCTTTTGCCTCTATGCGTCGTAGTGCTACATCTTGCTTACTTGCGCTTTTGTGTTTTTCTTGTTTTTGTAGTGCAAATGGCCACCTTGAATCCGCTCGATAAGGGTGAATGCTACGGCATGACAATGAGCCAGATGAAGGAGCTCATGCCAGAGGCGTATGCCGCATACGAAAACGATCCGTGGCGCACGCGCTTTCCCGGCGGCGAGTCGTACCAAGATTTGATGCTGCGTCTCGAGCCCGTTCTCATTGACATTGAGCAGCACACGGGACCTGTGCTCGTGGTCTCTCATATCTCCACGTTACAAGTGCTCTACTCGTACTTTTTGGGGGCCCCTATCGAAAGCTGCCCGGACCTGGAAATCCCGTTCCACTCGGTGCTCGAGCTTGTGCCGAACCAGGACGGCTGGACTAAAACTGTATTTAACATGCGTGCATGAGGAGTTGATCTCCAAGGAGGCAGCTCCTCACCTCGTGTCGTACCGTCGCGCAATTGCTAAGCTTTTGTGCGCACATGTGCACAAAGCGCCTGATAAACAACACGGCGTCATTATTTCCAACCCGTGCACCGCTCTTTCGCACACGAATGTGTAGTGTAATAGTTGAGTTTGATGGACAAAGCACTCCCTGATCCGAGTGGAGGGGCCGAGAGTGCTTTGTGTGTTACGTGCTCTTTGACTTTTTAACTGATACCTTTAACTTGCAGCCTCAAACTTCAGACCATTTGAACTCCATCGTATTGTCGGCTTATCGTATCATCTAGCACGGCTTCGTCCACTCTTTTCACTGCAACCAGGGACTACTATACCGGCATCATGATGGAAAAGTGCCGTAAAGTCCAGTCAGTTCTTACTTGTGATTCGACAGCATTAGTGCAACTGAACCGCTCAAATGCGACGAGTGGCAGTCCATGGATCTGACCTTCTCGCGTTTGTTGGTGTACAACGTTTATCGAGCCTCGTGACACATGTACAACTAGCTGCTCTCATCTCTCTGTATCGACCGAAAGGATGCGAGAGCACAAGCACATAGAGTCATATAAAAGCACCAGAGCATAGCAAGATGTAAACGCAACTGCTTCAGCGTCTAGTCTTCTTACGACTCTTGAACTGGTCACAGCGGTTCGACATCGGCTCCCACGTGATGGACGCTCTTTTTTTCATGTAAACAGACACATCTGTCAACTCCATTACTGCTACATTCGACTTGCATGTCACGCCAATTGTCAATCGCATATCTCTCGGTTTGTTATATCGTTTCAGACGATGAGTCTGACGTGCCTGCCACGCAGCGATTCCAGCCCGGCTTTTTAGCTGACGAAGATGGCATCTTTCGAGTATCTGTCACTGCTTGACAGCTAGCCACATGTCATTGCGGTGCTACTGAAGGCCATGTGAGTAACATTTGTGGCCAGCAGGTGCAAGTCTCACATATCCAGTGCAACTAATTGACGTCGCAGGCATTGACATGGACAGCATGTTTTACCACCACGCCCGGTGTCTTTTCTTTTCAGATAAAGGCTCTCACAGCAACAATTGCCGCCTCGCACTCTCGCTTGTCACAACTAGATGCATGGGTACGCGCATGCAAGTGTGTTACAAACGCCGCTCGTCCCTTTTCCCCACTACGGAGCCATTTGAGACGAAGATTGATACTGGCAAGTGCCACGCCGTGCTGGATCGGGAGACCTAAAGCCCATGTAGTGAAAGTCAGTACTGCCTTCACGTCCACAGTATATATGGCCGCAGCTTGACTTCCACTCGATTGTCCATACTGGATCTCCTCGTCACGCAATGGCAACACCCTTCGGACGCAGACTTCGTTGCTGTCATTCCTCAATTTCCATACTCCAAGACATCGACTTCCTTCTCTCTCCTTCAAGCTTTCATCACACTGAAATGACGTGTGGGAAGCTCTTTGTTCAATCGTGCAACTTGCTGTGGTAAGTCTGGTGTTCCCTTGACCTGCCACTATCATCGACGACTTTGTGCATTCACACACTTTTGGAATCGTATCTTGGCATGTCGTTACAGGTTTCCAAGCACCGTCTATCTATTGTGTGCCGCGCGGCCGGAAATTGCGGGCATGAAGCACTCGACAACTTTCAATCTTGTGATCCAGCGCCCGCGCATTGCTGGTGGAACTTTGATCATCCCGCTCGACTCGACCGTAACCCTCGCTGAAGCGTTCAGCAACGACACAGACCGTCACGTCCTTCGTCTCCAGTACGGATCAAACGGCAAGCATCTCAACATGCGGTCGTCGAGCTCGCAGGAGCATCAGCGATGGTTGATCGCCATCACTGCTGCGATGTCGCCACCCTTTCACCCTGACAACGGAGCTACTTCCAGTACTGGAAGTGTGCCGAAACGGACCATCCGCTCCCGAATGACTAAGCGCACGAAGAAAGCGCAGTCAGCTTCCCAGTCTACTCCAAGACAGCGTGGTTGTTCGATTCGACGCGTGATACGACAGAACGTCCCAGCAGCCATGCAGGTCTTCCTCACTTTCGGCCAGATCATTGCATCTGCGGCTAAGTAACTCATGACCACCTTCTTGGTACATCAGTCGTAGTAGCATCAGTTTCTCGATCGTCGATACCCTCTGACACCGTCTCGTATCGTAAGAACTATCAGTACATTAGCTTTTGACTTCTCTATAACCATGTTGCATCTAGGGTAGCTGCTTGCGATCCTATCTATGACAAAGAATTGCACGACCTAGCTTTTGTCTTTGCTTGACTAGTTATGCGATCATCGCTACCTATCGTAGTGGACTAGGCTTACGCCTTGGATCCCTTCGACTAGTTGCGAGTAAAAAATAATAAGAATGAAGCCCAACCGCTATTGATGGATGTCGAACACTAATGCCTGGCAGGGTGATGTAACATCGGACCGATTTCTGAAAGGAGACAACTGATTAAGAAATGAAGTTGTGAACAAGTACAGTTCCGGTACTTAGTTGCAACACTCCTCCTACTTCCACGATTATTCTTCCGGTTGTCATGTGCTGCAAAATCCGAATTGATCGAATCAGTCGGGGTGAGATACTTTCCTTCTTCGCAGGCGCTAAGAATGTGGCTGGTGCGGTGTCACTTCGTGTACCGCTGCGGAAACAGCTATCAGCTTCAGCGGATTTGGAGCCATACAAATCGATAATGGATGGAGAATCCTTATCGGCTTGAAGCCGTTACGTCTTTCAGTACGAGTCATCAAGTCGTACAAGTCACGGCTCGTTCAGCAAGCGGGGTTCCATTATCCTCTTGACTATATCTTGGCGTACAGTTAAAGCGTGGGGCGCTTGTGATACGTTGGTCATGCTCGCACATCAGGACAAGTAACGCTACTTGAACGCAATTGAGTAGCAGTCGGCTGTCTTGTTGCGTTCTTTGTGCAAGCTGCTTTACATTCCATTGTTTGAGATGAGAGCTCCGAACTAGTAGACTAGAGCAAGACGTAGAAGCCATAATTCTTCATCCAGTGTTACGATTGGATCACACTGTGAGATCAATGACTCGTACATCTAGTCCGCCCCTATTGTTGCAGTTGTAGATGAGAGGGGTTTTTTATACAGTGAATTTGTGCTCAAGTCCAATATTCAGGAGCCTTAACATTACTTCATCACGATAGTAGTGGGCAACTTTACAGCGTCGCGATTGCAGCCATCTTTTGGTGACAAGATATGACTCGATGCCCATGTCGACACGCATTGTCATGCATTTTTATTCAGCTTACAAATCGAATGAGGTCATCGACACGATCTTACGTTAGCGCATGAGTCGACCAGGTTGCGTTAAATTTGATTCTCCTGTATGTCAGGTTATGCACTGTTTGTTTGCTCATGCGGTTGTCGGGATCTTGCGAAGCTGGTGTGGCAATAAACGCTGACTGTGGCCTCAATTCGTAGCGCTTCAACTTGAAAATGAAATACAGAGAGCTCTTGCGATCTGATTCTTGGACGAAGTGCTGCCAAAGACCTGTACCATTTCCCGAAGAAGAATATACTACCCGAATCTTGCGAAGGGTCGACAACCTATAGCATGACATTCCGTTTTACCTACCCGTACGACGGAGTAACTTGGTGTCGGAAACGACGACCAAAGCTAGCACGATGAGATTTGATCCTTGCGCACTGACATGGTGCTGTGTATGGTTTACGACTGTAGCACGATGTATCATGTGCATTACTACTTCTCAGAGTTTGTGACAGAATGTCTAATTGCGGAAGCGATGCCGAGGTCCTAAGATCCTAGTGTTTTTTTGGACATGCCTGGATGTGGACTAGCTCCGTATCGTCCAACTAGGGTATTTACAGCGTACGCTCCTGTTAGACGTGACGTCACTCGGTGAAAATAGCGTGGTGCATGGAAGGAGCCAGAAAAGCATCAAAGAACCACATGATCATTACACTGGATGAAAGTGATTTAGCTTCTGTAGTATCTGCTGATGTTGCTGTAAGTAGCGGCCCGTTAGCCATGCTGCTTTGTCGACGATATAAACATGGTTCAAGGCTAGCCTTAACGGGCTCATTTAGCAGTAATACGCAATAACATATAGCGTCAAAGCGTCACGGTGACATTCTACAGCACTGTTGCGAAGGCTGCACTTGTTGCGCACATCTACGACGATGACATTTTGGTGAATGTGCAAAGGGCATTTGACGTAAAACTTTTTGATGAAAGTTCATCAGCACGCAAACTCGTAGCTCAAGGTAAATTTACAACCCTTGTGTCAACACCCTTTGCAGTTCCCTCGGCTCTATTCATGTGATGATGTACCTGTGCTCGTTTTAATTGCACATGGAGTATGCATACTTGGGTTGCCGTCATTTGTCCTGGTGACCTGAGGCGTCAAAGGTGGAGAGCACCAGAGCATACTTTTTGGGAGTAGAGGTTCCTTAGTGCGACCATGTATGCACCTAGATTCGCTCGAGTGCCCAACTCAGTAGCCTCTGCTCATTGTTCGTGTAGAACAAGAAATTGTATCGGCAGCCGTCGGTTCATTTGATCGCCAGCGCGACCTCGAGCTACAGTAACGATGTCAAACCATACCACGTGCAGCCCACTATCAACATGAAGGAGTGTGATGAGACGATACATGCGATCACCAAGTGTCATCAGCCAAAACAGCTAGAGGACGTGCACGACACGATAACGCCTGCCATTGTGTACGCTCTATCTAGATTTTGCGTCGATCCATTGAGAGATAGACCAAAGCCCGTGGTATACAACGTTTGAGGATTGTTGTGACGGTTGGCAGAAGCAGACCCTACTCATAAGATCGGCGTACTCCTCGCCTGCTCGAACACGATCGCAGGATTTAGTTGAGTCAGCAGGTAACACGATTTCACTGACACAATTTTTCCAATTTATTACACTACAGCCATGAACGCAGGGAGTACAAGGAGCACTCGAAAGGCGAGCGCATATTGCTGTTGAAGTAGCGTCACGATGTCCAGGTACCTTGTAAATTTACGGAAGATATCGCACAACTAGTTGTAGCATGGTTACGGGGACGCGTAAGAAAACTGGACCTTTACTTACGCTATGTGCCGTAAGCAATGCACTTGTTTGATCAGTAAGGCCTGTCTCTTCAGAGATCTTGTCTAGTCCCATCGCAGCAATTGCTAAACGATCATGTTGTGTGGGGCATCGCGCGGGAGCCATTTACAGATGCAGATCATAAATGGGTCTCACTTATCCCAGTAAACGTTGGTCCTCGATCTGCTCCTCGCGCTTAGCACCTGCTAGTGATTCGCTGCCTGTCCAAGTTCCTTTTGTTCACAAGGAGTTGGCCGTTCGGACCTCAGTAGCTCCCAAGTTCACATCTGGATTAGGCAATAGCCCTAATGCCGTCGGTCGATCACATCTGGGCGTCTTTCGCATTATTCTTTGCTTGTAGGATGAGAACTAAAAAAGTTCTTAACGAAACACATTGCCGTTCCTGCTACAGTTTTGTATAAAAGCAACACGTTCCTGCACAGACATGAACATACGTATCCGGCAGACGGTTGACAGACATACCTGTAGATGCTGATGTTTGCGGCAAAAGTAACAGCGTATGGTTGTGCTGATTTCAGTACTATTCTGTTTCGTCGTGACATGCTGCACCGTCTTGCTGCTATATCGAACGATTTCTAAACTACTTCGCCTTCCTACATATTGTAATGCAATGCATTCTCAGTCTACAATCCTGGTGAGAGGTCGAGGTCAGCGGGACTGAATTGGGAGTCAGCTTGCTCGAAGATCACGCTGGCGACTACAGGCTGGAATGCATTCCATCACATCAGAAATAGTCGACAGAGACGCGTAACATGTTGAGTTTAGTCGTGTCCAAATATGTATCGACAGTTAGATCTTACGCCACAGTCGTCAGGGTTGATTCGAGCATGGCTTTTCAAGTTTCGCGGTGCAACCAACTGCTTCATTTGTAGAATAAACGCAGTTAGTGCTTGCCATCGCAAGCAGCTCAGCTCAGAAGCATTCCAGTGCTCTGTCCATTTTGTAAGATAAGCTACATTATGATACATGGTAATGGTCGTCTTGCTCCAGAAATTAATTCTTCTGACCTGGGCGCGACGAAGTGCAACCACGATCAAGAAGTATCAAGTCTTTTTTCGCATCAGAAAGATTGCACGCTGGGGAGGACACTACTTTGAATGCCTAAAAGTCTTGTAGCACATCTCGTTTTGTTACATGTGCCTGGAAAACAAGTAGGTTCTGGTCAGTATTGATCATCTTCTTTGTGCGCAAGAACGACGTCAATGAACGGCCAGTTTGGCCGAAATTTAAGGATCAAGATACCGATTCAAGCGGGACTGGCATGTACGGAGGCAGTCGGTACGCACATAGCAGTAATTGAACCTTTTTGGACGTCCGTGCGGGTCTGCCAAAGAAGGATGGGGATAAACTTGAGTAAGCTTAACATCGATTATAGGAAGCTGACCATCGCCTGACGATGATGCACTCGGCACAGGGGAAGCGGAGAAACCGACTGATCAAGAAGTAAGTAACATTTTGAAGATGGCAATGACAATTTCAAATGTAACAACATCTCAGAGTGGAAAATAATCCAATCGAAGGAGGGAAAGGTTGCGTTATAGGCGCAGATATCTCGCGCATCGAAGAGTCTATTTCCGGCGATCCAGCTTGTTAGCCTCTTGGGCTCAATACTTTGGCATTAAACTTTGGATACCGAGCGACCAGCTGTCATGAGCCGCTCGATGTTTCCCTCAGGTTGTCAAAGATCATGCCAGAGTGCATGTACAGGTTCTGATTAGGTCACTCAGGGGTGGCTTTGCGAGCAGCCGGATAAATGTACATGTGTCTAATTACAGTGTGGACGTGCTCACCCGATATGTTGACCCTGCGCTACCACAGACCACTTCATTTCAGCTGCCAATCGACGCCACTTACGGCAACTGCACGTTTGTTGTTTGAACCTTACGGATGCATCGGAAAGTTTTCGCACAGCGCATTCGTGGTGGAGAGGAAGCATTTTACGAAACGCCTTGTTGATCCGCTAACTGAGCTCCCATCCCTCCACGCCTGCACTATTCTTACACATCTTCGTGACCAAATACTCTTCGGAACGGCTCTTTAAACGGAATCTCTCGTCCGGGCTCCAGCGTTGGATGTGTTCGTGACTGATGGCTGTATCATTCGTTAGTGTGTGGCACAAACTCGGTGGATGCAACTGTAACCGGGGTCGCCAGCAATATCTGCGGCCGCGGACCATCGTTGTCAGCCACAGTTATTGCGTTGTCGACGTCTTTGTCCCATGTAGCCCTCCATCTACGATTTGCCATCGCAACAAATTCCATCAAAATGTTGTGCCCACATTTCCCTGTGTGCGTTTTTCATCTCCGTCTTCATCACTGCTAATGCCTGATAGTGTCTGGTTCTTTTTTCTTTCCTGCCGGACACATTGTCGCTAAACATAGTGGTCACTTGATTTTGACGGAAGGTTCATCGCTGCAGCATACACCATTAAGGTGTTCTGCAATCTTGGAATGCATCAGCATGGTACGAAGCATCAAATTTGGCAGGAATACAAACAAACTCAAAACAAGTTCGTACATGGTAGAGGAATTATGAGCCTATTCACGGTTACGATCGCTCAGATTGGCTCATGTCGGACTCAGGTATAGCTAAAGACTACTATCTAGACTCCCTGAGCGAAGGCATGGCAGCCGAGGCAGGTACATGCGGTTTGAACATACTTCCAATCAGAGCCGCCAGTACTTTTGACGATTGTGTTCGACAGACATGCCTAAAAACCGAATCAAGCAAACATATTGGTATTTGCGTACTTGCTGTCTTACTTTCTGTAAACCAGTCTTTCACTAAAAGCGGTTTGGTTCTTCCTAGTGCTTACATCGCCTTCAGTTGTTCACGCGATGGTCCGTTTTCACTTGCATGCAGCCTAAAGCCCCGTGGCGCTTTTTCGTGTATCCTACTACCTTACACGATCAGGAGGTTTTGGGTGGGTGCAGTTGTGCGAGACCAATAGAGGTTCTCTCTTCACTTGCTTGGTGACGGACTTACGACGCTTATGGTAGTAAATGGATCAGCTCTCATCGCAAGCGTGAGGTCAGAAGAGTGAGCGTGATATGTATCCGCAGTAGTCAATGGCAGTTTCATCCTATGCATTTCTACATCGATATACACTGCTGATCGGTGCCGTAAACACTCTTCCATTTGGTAAGACGACTCTGTCAAGTGTGAGCTACTGCGATTCCCGAATTTTTACGGTTCAGCTCAAGCCAGTCTTTTTCCCCTTCGGAGGCGGTCACTTCGGAGGGAATCCTCTTCATTGGAAAGCCGAACAGGTCCGCAGTCTGCCTCGAGCGCGCTGCACTCGCAATCTCGGATGTGGAAGCAGTGGACCGACATGTCGCGTAAGCGACCCCGCGCCACGTAAACCGCTGCGGCGGTCGCACAGTCCAAGTCCTGGGGGTCGCGCAAGCGGCCAACCCGGTGCACCATCGCAGATGGAGAGTCTCTAGGGAAGATATTACGACGAGTAGGCGCTCCCCACGCCTCGTGGTTACTTCGGTGACCGCACTCCACGTCGAGGCGCCGCGCAAACGGCCGATAGAGGACCGCTTCCATAACCGGTGTCGTCGCGCTGGCGATAGCTCACGAAAGTCTTCTGGCTGTGCCAGCAGCTATCGGGGTTAAAGACACCCTGCCAAGATCTGCCGCCGGGTTCCTCGACGCTCACCTCTTGGCTCAGCAATTAACAGAAGTTAAGGCGCATAGAAAACACCGTGCAAATGGACTATCTGAACCAACAACTTCTATTTGGATGGGCGAAGCGATGTACTACCTTGTTTATGTGGCTGTTGCTCAGCTCTTCCCGTAAGCGCCTTCAATCACGATCTTTGACATTTCAACAATGGGATCGCTCTGTAAATCACAAATGCCCGTGAGTCTGATTACAGAAGTGTTGCAAGGCCCTTGCCCCAGGAAATAGACGGGATATTCATCTCAGACTTGCTGTCGCCTACGCAACCGAGCAAGCGCGAATTGTAACGATGATTCTCAGGATGTACGTCACAAATCATACGTCGGAGCAGTGCAATCAACAATGGGAAGACTGCGCCGCAGTAACACCTGTTTACGTTGCATGATATTTTTGATTAGCCAAATGTGACCTCAGATTCTTTTCTAGGACGCACCGTGACCACCGAGCATGCAATACCATGTATCGCACCTAAGCCCGGCCAACTTTATGCCATGTTAAATGGATTGCTGCAAAGATGTTGAAGCGAAAGGACGCAGCACAACTGTCAGTACGATAGCGAGGATGTGTCCTGTATGGACTCTATTCCCATGTCAACCTTTCACTGCACAGGTAGTGTTGCGATTTCGAAACATGTATTTCATGTCTTGAAGTCTCTAGGTCTAGTCACAGTGGTCACGTATCAGCTTATTGATGACAATTCTCACGTATGTTGTACACGGATGGACCGGACTTCACATTCGATCAAAGTTGTTAGAAATCGGGCTCTTTCTCATCGGTACGGCAGTGTCCGTGCGAGTCCCTCCAGGTGGAAGGCGATTCCCTATTTTTGTATGAGGCTTACCGAACAGACAGGTGTGTCGTCTGCAGATAGTCATCAACAAGACCGCTGCGGGTCGATCCTTGTTCAGTCTTTTTGGTGCAAATGTATTCTACAACCTAGACATACGGCGATGGTCAGTGATGTCATATCCGCAAACAACGTATGTTCAAACAAGGTGGAACGCGATGGTCTCCGATGTCGCATTCCTCAATTTGGAGAGCAGTCAAGTACCTCACCAATCATCATGCGCTGCATCATCTCCGTGCTCGCTGCTCTGGCCGCTGTGGTCATTCTCGTTGCCTCCGCGACCGAAGCTCCGGAACGAAGCTCAACGGTTGCTCACAATGATGGCGGAAATACTCAATACCTGCGATCGAACAACGAACCCGCCAAAGCCTACGAGGTAGACGATGAAGAAAGGGTGATAAATCTCGGCGTCGCTATCGCCGGTCCACAGATTGTGCCCCCCTTTCCGGCCATTAAGGTAGCCAACTACCTCAAGAGAGACGCGCTGGTAGCCGAAAAGGTGGAACAGGCTTTTAGCTGGTTCGCGAACCTATTCAAGCGCCGTGTGCGCATCTCACCAGCGGGTAAAGCTGGCGAGAAGAAAAGCAAGCACGCGCTACAACATTGAATGCGAGAGCCGTATCAAACTACGACACGTTGTTGTCAAGACAGTACTCGGACGGTGAGAGAAGCAGTACAGCAGTTGTTCGTAACGCATTCAATAAACGTGTCTCATTTGTCACTAGCTCTAATCACACTCAAGTTGTTTTTACGCTAGGACGACATGGCTAGCAGCGCATGTATGATGCATATGTGCGTATCTTTTGTCAAGATAGAACGGGTGAAGTAATGATTTCTCTGCTTCGCGTGTACAAGGCCGCTCTTTTGTCATAATGTACAATTAACATCCCTGTCACCAAGCAAGTTCGCAATAGCTCTCGTTGAGCCTACTACAGTTCGCAGTAATGTTACAGTAAGCCAGCGCTCCATACCTGGTTCATAACTCATTGTAAACTACGTTGCATGGCATGCTAACACGAGAATAAGATTTGTGCTATCGAAGATGACGCAACAACGCAAAACGAGATGACTTTAATTTGTTGTAATGGCATAGTATTGAAAAGGTGTGATGTGTGTTGATTGATTGAGATGCCACGCATGTCCTGCAAGGCCCAATGACATCGGAAAAGAAGACTACACCAACGTGGTAACTTGTTGCGAGAGGAATCTCACCTTTTGTTTAGTTTATATTTACAGGCTTAGCAGAGTCGGACGGGTGACCTGTGAACCGCCACATTTGTTTCTCAATTGGTCTCTTTGTCGACTCGTCTCTTTCTGGTATTGCCGTTTACCTTCCCCATTATTTTAACCAGTAGTAAACGGACTTTAATGTTCCGACGGCTACACCTTGAGCGGTATTACAATACATGCGTGGTTTGTCTAGTCTCCGGCAGCAGCGTAATCTCACACGCTGTTTCGGTATATGTAGAAAGAAAACGACATTAATGTTATGTGGCATGCACATGAACACTTTGAAAAGTGCTGTGTGTTCCCTCAGAACGTCGAGACTTTGAACAAGTATTGACATTTCACCCAACTTTACTATTTTCACCCCTTAAAACCAAAACAGGGCTGTTTTCTATTTTTAAAACGCAGCGCGCTGTACAAGATCACGTGCCGTGTAAACATCAATCTACGCATGTCCAATAGGTGGATGAATCCTCCAAGTTAGAGTTGATCACTATGCGAAAAATGCTGCAATGAAATACAAGCTGATGACGAGCACTTCTCTAGTCTCTTGAGATGGATGCTGGATCAAAAGAAGGCCGCTAGCGACAACGGCGCGAGCTAGATCATAGGCAAAAACTCGAGCGATGGTCCACTGATGAACAGAACGGTGTCCCGACTCCTCGAAGGTAAAAATTGCGCTCTCCACAGCGCAGTGAGGGAACTTGAGAACGAAGTCTACTGTATGCTGAAACACCGTCTTGTTGCTTACCCAATTGGGTGTGAGCCGAAAAAAGCCAGGAAACGCAAACGCCTCGAGCGCTGCAATACGCGCGCACAACAGTTCTTGCATAATGATTTGAAGAAGAATGCGAATCAGATAAGCTATGTTCGCGCAGTACGACCTGCATGTACGGTTCCGTTTTATTTTACTGTTTTCGCGTTGTGTGTATGTAGCAACACAGATAGCGACACGCACACCACGATATCTCTGCGAAAAATCAACACTATGCAGCGCTTGCGTTACTGTGCGCGCACCATCGACTAGATCGACGGTTTTGCTCCATCCCACGCAGCGATCAAATTTCTCCTTTATGTAGTCGGACCTGAAGATCGAACGAGACAAATTAAGCGCGCGCGCTCTCAATTGAAGAGCCTGGACATCTTCTTTGTTGACGGACACTTAAATCCGAAATACCCGGTAGGCTGCAAAAAAATCGTGCAGATCCTTTTGGCAACTGCAGTGTTTTAGTGAGAATGGCGGTGTGCAGGACCAATAGACATGGTTGCCATCCATCGATTCGATGCATGTTGTAAAATACACCCTGGTCTGGTTCGGGCGGGGGGGGGATGAAAATAGTAAAAATGAGGGGGGTGAAAATAGATTACCCTAAAAAAGCCACCGTTTAAATGCGTTCTTTTATGTATACAACAAGAGTACCCTTTTCGTCTCGTCGATTACCCTTAGCATTGTGGCTCAGCGCCTGCCGACACACACACACACCTCACCACAGCATATTAATACAAAATTGATAATTGGGTGTGGACATCAAGTTATGGTGGAATTATCAAACTTTGAAACTTTGTATTAGAATCAGATAGTGGCCAATATAATTAGACTGGATATTGGATTTTTACAAGCAAATTGACCCACTAGCCACTGGCACTTTAAGATTGCACCCTCAATTAACCTTTAATATGATCATTATCGTAGTAGAAACACCCGCGAGAAACGGCAAGAAAGCAGTCAAGATATGTAGTCCTGGTAAGAGTGAGGTTCAGTTGATTTACATAGCACTAATTTGAATGTAAAAAAAACGTTTCTTCTGCGTTAAGGTCAGCGCTACAATTTAGTTTTCAGTGCTCTCTCGCACCCACGTATGTGAAGTCTTGTTGCACATTTCTACCGTATTTTCAGTGTAGATAGCTTGTACCATCATAAGTAATAACATCGCAAGTTGCCCGATTTACAGTCTCATTTTTAAACAAATACTCGTGCAAGTGATGGAAAGGGAGCGCCGACGTTCTGAAACGAGATAAACAACGTACAATTACTGGCGCTATTGGAAATGTAAATGGCTTTGAAGTAAAGATTACGCGTCGCCCTTCTTATGCAGAATATCAGGCCATAAGGCCAAAAATAGAGAGAATACATCGGGGTATTTCGAGAAAATGTCGAGGCCCGCCATTTGCACCTGTGTTGTATCTTGATGATAAGACGCAGCACTTTCAACCGTCATTTCTGCTCATTAGAATTCAAGGCTTGTCAATAGAAATGTAGAAGACGATGAGCAAGTGATGCAAAAGGGGATGGTACCGACAGCAAATAAGAATAAGAATTGTATGTAAGAAGCAATGTTTCATGTCACAAACATAGTGTGTAAACGTCTGCGTTATCTTGGTCACCCGTCTGCGGTACTATTACAAGCGGCTAAATATTGAATTAAGAGTTGTTACAGTGTTTATAGCTTTACGTGTGCTGATTAATTGAAAAGGATGAGAAACACACGCACCGATACACACATACAGCATATTTAAAGTGCATCCAAACTTCTTTCTCATATCCTTTGTAATTTGATTAAACAGATAAGCTCGTAACTGCTTTCGTCGACAGTAATTTTCAAGCTGTGATCATTTGCGGTGGTCAAGTGAATGTAGCTAGGTAGGCCAATAATTTTTTGTCTTTAAGATTGCGTTGCTTCTGGATATCGAACCCAGCTTCAAATTCTAGACTAATTAAGCACTATCAGCTGCTTCTGTGGCGTTGTTGTAATGTTAGGAGGTATAGACTGCGCAATATCACAGTGTGCTTTTACAATGCTTCAAAAGGTACATATCAGGAAGCTATAAAGTCAATCATAGCCCTCTTTATTCGCTAAAGAAGACTTTATTGGAAGTCTTAATAATCGCCTCAGACGATGCGGAGCTAAAAAAATGCACACGTTTTAGTGTACTCAAGTTAATGTGGTACACATATTCTGACACTGTGCTTAAATGAGGGGCTTAACCCGTTATAATAACTCTTTACACGCAATATGCTGATGTTTGTCGGACATGCTAGAAGACTTAAGTACTTGATTATGACCACGCGGATAGTTACAGATACAGTTGGACTTATGCTACGCTTGAAAATTAACGCTATATTACTTTGACACATGAATAAATTGCAAGCTTAGTGCCGTAGAAAAACTTAAATTAAATCTAGAGGTTCTATAGGCCTATGAACATTCAGAAGCGCCATTCATTGCTACAAATAACTTTATTGTAATACGTTAAAAGTTATGTAGCACAAAGTAACAGCGCGGCACGTGGTATCGCACCTATCATTGACATTAGAGGGCCGCATGCCATGGTCTGATGGATATATAAAAACGAAGTATCAATTAAATCTTAGTCAAGTCCGTATTGTATAATCTAATGTACAGTGTAGTTGCTTCCTTACCTGTGACACATATGCTGGATGAGTTAAACTTCGACTGTATCAAATGTCTTGTGCGTAATGTCATTTCCTCTTGAGCTTTCCACCTTCAGCGTGCTGTACTGGGAGTTTAGTCATTCACAGCACTATTGCATATCTGCAACAGTCCTAAAGCGTCTCCAGCAACACTTGTACCAATTTTTATATTGCTTGGTACCGTACCTTCACATTGGACATAACTTTGTGCACGCGGCAACTAAGATGGCATTATCTTAAAACCAGAGTAAATGACATGTCTTATTCACGATGTCAATTCAGAACGTCCGGACTGTATCAACAAAGCAGTTTAATGTAAAATGAAATGAAAGCAAGCATAAGCCATGCTCGAGGCATCATCGCACATTTTCTGCTTGCAATACGCGTGCAGTCGAAGAAGGCTGAGAAAAGTCAAGTTGTATACATAAAAATCAAACGGGTAGAATATATTCATGATCTTTCATTAATTTGGTTTAATATGCCAAAGAAACTAGAGCTAGTTAGCAGGAATCGTATTCCTATCCTACAATAGAACAACTACAACAGCGGCACTGTCGTATTAACAAAAACACAAAACCGTAGTAGCATCAACAGATCAGTAAGATCAGTAACAACAGCAGCAAAAATAAACAGATGCACCATTTTAGCAACAGCGACAGTTACTGCGGCAACAACAAAAGTAGCATTAGTAACAAGAGGATAATAACAACGAAAAGAACGGTAGCAGCCACAACACCACCAGTATCATAAAACAAAAGCAACGGGAGCAGTTGAGTAGATTAAGATAATAACAACAGGAGCTACAGCGACAACATCTTTTGCAACAACAATTCTAGCTACAAAACAGAAACAACACAAAGTTTAAATATAAAAATTACAGCATTAGGTTAGAATAATAAAAATACCAGAAACGATAACAAACAGTACCATCTATCATAACAACATCA